CGAATAAATAGCTTTAAGATAACAATTTGACTAAGAATAAAAACAAAAGTTTTGAAATAAAAAATGGTTTATTACATTTGTGTTTTAAATTTTTTTATATTATTATTAATTTTACAGATATAAACAAGTCTTAAACAAAACCACATATTTTAATGGCACAAGTGTCTGATTTTGATCAATGTGCTAGTTGTGCTTGATGTATTGATTCAATTTTTAATATTTGGTATAAAACCATTGAACTTCATTCTTAAAACACTTTGTTCAAAAATATTCCACCTGTTTCTTGTTTTCTGTAGTAAATTACTGACTCGACCGAAGCTTGCTTCCATTACGTAAGAAGACAGAGAAGTCAATAATGTTATTTCAGCAACAATTTTTATTTTGGGATAATTTTCTCAAATGAGTTTTAAATTCCAAACTTTAGTACCCATATGTTTTCAATAAGACTTTATTTGATATAGCTTTATATCAATTAAAAATTAATTATCAATTTTATTATTATTATTATTATTATTTTTGTAATCAATGGGATATTGACTATGCTGATCTATTGCCAATGCATATTTGATTATCGAAGTCTTTGTCATTGATCTGCTTTAAATCTAAGTTTGTTCATAGAAATTTTCAGCAGCGATTTAGTTTAAATATTAAATATATGCTGTAATTTACTTTAATTTTAGAGGTTTTTTTTTTTCACACAAAACTTGCCGAAAATATCAAATACCTATGAGTGAAAGTTTGAACCTGATCAAAATATAAACAAAATGCTCTGATAAACTGTTACAATGGGGAGGTAAAGCCACTTAAAGCAACTCTGAAAAAAAAAGTCTCTGATAATCTGACAAAAGTATTTTTGCAAATATTTAAACAATTTTAAGAAATTTATTTTAGAGCAAACTGTATGAAAGTGTAAAAAAAAAAAGTTCCTTTACGTTATCATAGCAGTGTAGTTCCAATCACAAAATCTCGTTCACTTGTTTAAAATTATGTCTATTCTATTCATAATTACATCACCATGGCATCATGAACTAACTTTGTGAAAGAGCAAATAATGCCATGCATGGGCTAAAAAATCTGGAGACCCCTTTTCTAGGAGATCACTGCAGCTAAGAAAAGGATAATGCATTTTGAAAGAAATTAAATGCTCCTAAAGGATCTACAGAATGAAAGTATGTTTCGATGTCCATCAAACAAAAAGTGGAATTGCTGCAAAAAATGGATAAAGACATGAAGAAGGTGACAGAGAGGTTAGTGAAAACGAAAAAATTTCGATTGACAAGTTAGTTGGTATTCTTGGCACAGCAATTACGGGACTTGAACAGTGGAACTTTGTAACTGAACAAGAAATTATGTCTGTTTATAGAATTAAAGAGGAAGTATTAGCACAAAAAACGAAGCAACTTAAACAACTTACATTGAAAGAAATGTTTAATAAAGTAAACAAATAAATATTAAGCATTTTTTTTTGTAAATTTTGATACCCTTTAGATCATAATTGTTCTTTATTTCATAAATTACGGTTTCATATTTTTAATTTTAGAATTTCTGCATGTCATCTTACGAGATTTAAACTGATGATCTATAATCCGGAATCGCCGAAGTCCTGACGAGTCTGGATTAACAACTTTTGACTGTATTAGAATTTCCAAAAGAAATGATAAGCAAGCCTAAATCACTTTGCCATCAAGTATTTTTTTTTTTTTTTTTCAGATAAGAGTAAATATTATGTTCAGCAATCAAATAGTTGAAAATTAACCAACAGTAAAATACAGTTGCAGAAATATAATGGTGTTAAAGGTAATATGTGTGCAAATGCTGTTGGAGTTTGTACATAATTGTTGGTGTTTTGAATAAATATGTTTATCTTAACAATTTAAGAAAACAATTGAAACAAAGTGCATGTTCTGGAAGTTTATACTTCCAAGTAGATAATAATCCCAAACACAAATCTAGAACTGATAAGCAAGCCTAAATCACTTTGCCATCAAGTATTTTTTTTTTTCCAGATAAATGTAAATTTTATGTTCAGCAATCAAATAGTTGAAAATTAACCAACAGTAAAATACAGTTGCAGAAATATAATGGTGTTAAAGGTAATATGTGTGCAAATGTTGTTGGAAGTTTGTATATAATTGTTGGTGTTTTGAATAAATATGTTTATTTAACAATTGAAACAAAATGCATACTCTGGAAGTTTATACTTCCAAGTAGATAATAATCCTAAACATAAATCTAGAACTATTAGGAGCAGTTATTATCCAATCCACCACATGTTCTGGAAACTTTTAATTCATCATCATTTAATTTAAGAAAGGGAAAATTCATAAAGAATCAGGCTTGAATTCTTGAAGGAATGAATGAGATTCTAAATTCAAAATTAAAAAAATTGTTGAAGTCAATGTCCAAATATTTCCAAGTTATTTCTAATGAAAAAAAAAAAAAAAAAAAAAAAAATATTGCACCTTTTTTTTTTCTGACTGATTTTCTGTATGCAAAATTAGCTGTAAATTTTATAATATTCATTCATTTAAATTAAAAAATTCTTAATACTTTGAAATAGTTTCAAAATATTAAGAATTTCTGAATACTTTTTTCTTCATTGTTTGAGGGCTAAGGAACGTCTTCACCCAGGATTTCAATCTTGAAAGAAAATGGCAAAGTATTCTTCAGTAAACAATTTAAATAATTAAAATTTCTTTTTTCAATAGAAATACTCATGGTTTTCTAGATGTAATTACCCTTTTCTCAGTTCATAGATGCCCTTACATTTTATTAAATTCCTTTTAAAACTTTTCATTAACCTAGGAAAGTAAATTTCCACATATTATGTAAGTGCTTTTGTTTTCTATTGCATTTATTCAATTTTATATACATCAATAAAATTACTATTACAATCTGTGTAGAGTATGTTCAAATGATATAAAAGTGATCAGACATATGTCAATCTTTAGGGAAAATTTTTTTTTGCTTCTGAAGAAGATCCTGTGTCTAATTGTTTTTGAAAACAAGTTTTATTTCAAAATCATTGGCAAATTACGATTATATTTTTGCTTAAACTTTATATTTGCTTCTTGCCTCAACAATATGTTGAACAGCATAGTATATTTAGTTTGTAAAATAAAATAGTACAATACTCTGTAAAGTTAAACCTCAAATTATTCCATTAAGTTTAATATTTTAACAGATTTACTTTTCATAATTTCAAATAAAATGTTCAATTCTGGTATATCAAATTGTCTTCAGCGAATTTCACTTCCCTGTTGTATTCAACATGTCAGGTCTTTATCACATGACAAAATGTTTGTAAGAAAATAAGTATTCTTGTATTTCTGACATAAATTTTTATAGTTTCGTATATTTATGAATTCACCAATATAATTTTACAAAGCTCTTTTCTTTACTGTAATACATTCACTTTGTTTTATATATACACTCTTTTACCAAAAATTACATTTTATAAAAAGTATTATACCGACACTAGTAACACCCTCATCAGGAGAAAATTTGTGCACATCATGGGCAAGTCATACAAAAATTTTCTTACATGAGCTAAATGTAAAGTTACATATTTTAAGCTGGAGAATCCCTGACCACATACTTGCAAAAGCAGGAGGGAATTCCATATGTGACCCTCCTTGAAATGAGTAAAAAGTGTATTTTATATTCAGGTAATCTTTATTCTAAGATCTAGTTGTGAATCCTCAATTTTAAAATTAAAATTGCTGATGTCATGTGATGAATAAGCCATTTAATGTTTTAAATTTGTCTCCAGTTATTTTAAATTTTCTGAATGTGCCCATTTTTAAGACACTTAATGATTAGAAAGCTTACTACATGTACGAGACATATGAAAAAGTAAATTTTACAGCACTGATCAAGATGTTTATAAAAGCAGACTGCATACTTTTTGAAGCATTTGAATGAGATTCTTGCTTTTGTTCCATTCTTGCATATGCTTCATTATATTAGCTAACATTTTGCGGATCTACACTTATATTAAGTCTCATATAAAATAATTACACTTTCTTTTATTTTCAGTCAATTCGACTCGTTAACATGATTCCTAAATATTTAACTAAGAATAATAAAATAGATAGAAATATTTCTATAAGGTCGTTTGTTACATTCGGCTTACATACTGTTTCCAAAATTATAACGGAAACTTCTTAACGATAAAATGCAGACAGAATCGCAAAAGAATAAATAAATATTTTATTTAATGTCGGATCAGAACGTTTTATCTACAAGGTAGACAATACAGCTCATCTAACACATTAGTGCGACATGCTATACATCCACTTCAGATATCCGTTCTATGTTCATCATGTCCGACAAGGCCAGGAGAATTCATCGCAAATATGCTCATAACTCCTCGTTTGTCATCATTTTGGATACTAGTATCAAAGCACACACTTCGATACTTAATAACCAATCAAATAAGATCAAAAGTGTATCGTAGAATTAAAAAAAAAAAAAAATTACACACAACTTTCACTCCACTCACTCACACACCACTCTCGCACACACTCAACCAAATGGCGCAATTTTGGCTATGTCTTTTCTAACAACAAGAGTTGAGAGATTTTCATCTTGCGACAAACTATTTAACTTTTTTTTAAAATGTTATATGAGATATACATTCATGAAACAATTTCCAATAACAAATACTTTCTACAATTTTTTAACACTGTGCATTATGTAAAAATTACAAGGCATAAAAAATTACAATCATTAGATTGTATATTTTAATTGATTAAAAAATGAAACATGAAACATTAAAATAAATATTAAAGTATAAAAATTAAAAAAAAATTTTTAGAGTTTTTAAACATTTCTGAATCATAATAGAGCTATTTATGATAGACTTATGATGCGTCAAATAAAAATAAAACTTCTGTCAGAATTCCATCTCCTTGTCCGTAACCATGTAAAAAGTCACTTAAAAAAACGCACATGTGAGCAGAAAGACTTAGCGGGTGCAAAACAAGACTTCTGTATGTGTGTTTTGCTTAATAATGGATAAAATTAATTTATTAATAATTTATTAAATTTTTTCAACAAGAATAAATTGCTTATGGAACGAAATAGTGTTTTTGTGATGTATGTTCTTGATGTTTTTAAAAAGTGGGTTGGATTTCAGGTTAGAATGCAGACCTCACTTTTTTTTTTGTTGTAAAAATTTCTAATAATTAAGGAAAAAAAGCTGCAAATTTTACTTAATCTTGTGCATTTAAGGAATGGTGAACCTCACACATCTATTTTGTAGAGAACGTGTCAAGATTTTGTCTATATATTTTCATACTGAGTTAAACAGCTTTAAAATTATGTTGATGTGATGATATAGTTAAGTAATGCAGAAACCTGTATTAAAATTTTTTCTGACTTGTTCGGTAGATTAAGTTAATTTCATGTGTTATTTAACAGTCAACAGTAATCATCTGAAAGTTATTTTTTACCCTCCACTGCTATCGTGCTATCATTTATGTGCATGAGAAACGGAAAATATAATTTTTCTCTTTCCAATCCTGACTACACCCACTTTCTCAATTGCATAAAGCTGTTTCTGATTTAAAAATGGTTGTATTCAGGCACAAAGAATACATTCTTTATATTAATATTTTATACATGAAGCACTTTCATTTCAAATTTGTAAACAGTGGTTCATTTTCTGACATATTTCGGTAAAAGTTTACAATAGGGTGCCCCTTGTTTTTTGGCGATTCTTTTTTGACGCCAAGATTATCGCCAGGAAGACACAATTTCAAGGTGGCCGCTACACAAAACCAAAATAAAAAGTCAAAGAATTGCATAAACTGTGTGTCCATGTACACATCGATCTGTTTTCACTTAAAAAACATCCCAGAATTGCACAAATTAGGCATTCTGCACTGCTTTAAATTTGTCCATGTATACAACAATCTATTTTTATTTAAAAAAATCAGGAGGCTAAAGCAAAGTTACACTATCATGGTAACCAGAAATGAGATTTCTTCGCCAAAATTTTACAAAAAATTGTCGCTAATCGAAGGGGCACCCAATTCTACACTAGAGCCATATTTCTTTAAGAGCTATGATTCATACTTGATGGCATTTTGAGTGAGGTATTTTGTATATTCTCTATATTTGAAGGAAGCATTTCCGCAAAGAACCCGGTAAATGAAAACATAACCTGGTAACTCAGCGGATTTATCCTACCTATTCGCTTGTTCAAAGTTTGCAACCATTCTTCTTGCGTACATTTTGTTGAATTAAAAAACTGTCGTTGTTTGCAATTGTAGATTTATATTATTCTTCTCTTATTTATTTTTATTTTTTCTGAATTTTTTAACAACGAATAGACAAAAATATTTTCGTGGATAGATGCCGGTTCTCGGTTTGCAATGAAAAGAAGAAAATACGGCGGGAGGGGTGAATGCTAATTTGTAACATGGCTGTTCACGTTGTGTTCTTAATTATTAACAGCTCTAACAACCGTGAGGTTTCCAACCTTTAAAATAATTTGTTTCCGTAGGCCGCAAAGATGTGCATGTGCATTTTAAATAATTAAGTAATGCTTTTATTTTTATTATTGGTTATTGTCATCTAAAATTATGAGAATAAATCAATTTTTATGGCGTAAAATTTTGACAAGATAATATATTTGTTAATGCTTTTTAACAATAACATTTCAGAGGATGGCAGGTGTCACATAAATAGATGATTAAATTGAAATAAAAAATATTATTGATCATCTAAGATGACAGAATAGTTTGTGCATCACCATGGTAATCAAAATTAGCAAACTACTGCTGGTGTAAGGAATATATTGTTTTCTGTGTTAACTGGAATTTAAGACAAATTTTTTTTCGTTTATCATGTTTAACTGGTTAATTTCAGTACATTAATATTAATTTATATTTTTTAAATGAATTTTTATTTCCGTTATAAATGCTTATACAGTCAAAAGTCGTTAATTCGGACACCCATAATTCGGAATGATCTATAATCCGGACCTCAAAACTAAAAACATTCTGCGCATGCGCCGCATTGACACATGCGCATAGGCGTTTACGCGTGCGCGTAAGACCTTTTACGACTGCGAATATGAGTGTGCGCAAGTGCAGAATACGTTTTCGCATGTGCGTTTTATGTATAATAGATGTATAAGCTAAAATTATCTAATTATCTATTTCAGTTAATGTTGATGATTGCGTTGTTCCTTAATTTTCGAATTGGATCCGGCTTATTATTTTTTGCAGACTGTAAGAGCAATTTTATAAAAGTAAGCTTAAACTTTCGATTATATCAAATAGAATTTCTGATATATATTTGTTAATATGTAAAGGATCTAAAGCGAAAATATGTTTTGAAATCCGAAATCTGTTTATCAGTTTCACGCTGCTCGGCGGGGGGAAAGCCGCAGCGGGCGCATAATGAATTGGAAGTTGATCTGTCAGCACTATCCTTATCTTCAGGGCAGATGTTTTTATTTTATTTGGCTTATAATTCCTTACCAAATTAGTATTTCATCTCGATGTGCTCCATCTTTGATATGATTTAAAACAAGTTCCTCGTCATTATAATTCGCTTCCGATAGCGAAGAAAGTGACAGAGGTTAGTGAAAACGAAAAAATTTCAATTGACAAATTAGTCGGTGTTCCCGACACAGCAATTATAGGACTTGAACAGTGAAACTTTGTAACTGAACAAGAAATTATGTCTGTTTAATAGAATTAAAGAGAAAGTATTATCACATGAAACGAAGCAAAACTTAAACAACTTACATTGAAAGAAATGTTTAATAAAGTAAACAAATAAATATTAAGCTTTTTCTTTTTGCAAATTTTGATACCCTTTAGATCATAATTGTTCTTTATTTCATAAATTACGGTTTCATATTTTTAATTTTAGAATTTCTGCATGCCATCTTACGAGATTTAAACTGATGATCTATAATCCGGAAAAATCGATAATCCGAAATTGCCAAAGTCCCGACGAGTCCGGATTAACGACTTTTGACTGTATGTTGTCTTATGCTTAATATATTCTTTTCTGTGCTAACTTGAATTTAACACAAATTAATTTTCGTATATCACATTTAACCGGTTAGTTTTACATCTACATGCTTATTATCTCTGAATTTTTACTACCATATGCTTAATATATTGTTTTATCTGCTAACTTGAATTTACATGCATTAAAAATCACGTTTACGGCTCGTCTCATCGTCGATGAACCGCGAGCTTGGTGAGTAAAAATGCAACGGCGCCAACAGGTTCTTTCCTGAAGCGCCAACGGGTTCTCTGCGGATGAAACCCTATTTGAATACTTTTTAAGTAAGAATCAAAGTATTTTTGCTGTAAATAATATGAGGTATGGTCTCCTTTCGCAGCCATAGTGGTTTTGCAGTATGGTATCATACTTGACGGAGGACGGTTGAGGAATCCCTGATGCAGTCGATCCCAGACCTGCAGCAAGGCAATTTCAATTCTGGGATGGTTCTCAGAGAGGAGATAATGAGATCAATTTGCTGTCTCAAGAGTGTTCCACACCTGCTGAATAAGCCTAAGATCTGGAGATCAGGTTGGCCAATCCATGCAGTGAAAATCTTCACTTTCCAGGTGATCATCAACCAGCTGAGTCCTAAACGGATAATAGGAACCCAGGACTAACTGCACCCCTGAAATGTCAAACATAGGGCTGTAAGATCTTTCTATATCTGCTCTTTTAATTGACAGCCATTTTTGTGACTTTGCAGGTTGATAATAGAGTCTTTCAAAGGGGAAGAGATGCTCTTGGGAGAGTTTCATTTTTTACATCCAAATTTTAGAATAATATTTTTAGCTTTGCTAGTAATAAAAGGTTTTAATTTTTTTCTTTCATTTGCTCTATAATCAAATAGAATGGCTAATTATTATTTTGAAATCTTTTTATGTTTATTAACAACCGTTACTAAAATTCTGCTGAGCAAAAATCACATGTTCATTCACTTGAAAGCACTTTCAGACTTTTAAGTCTCCTGCATATTTTCGTCATCCTAAAACTTCCCTTTATTTGAGCTTATTTAGTTAAAAACCAATAACAAATGTCATTTCAGGCAGCTATTGATGAAGGTATGGGAGGTCCATATGCAAGAGAAAAAGAAGTATGGATGGCTAGTGAAATTGAAAATTATTTTAAACGATATGGTAAACAATAGTTTTGAATATTTGTTGTATTTAAGATATTGTGACATTCTGTAGTCTTAGAATATTATTCTTTAAAATAATAATTTCTCTCTCTCTCTCTCTCTTTTTTTTTTTTTTTTTTTAATTTTTTATTTTACATTGCCATGTTTCTTTTTCAATTTGACCTTTGACATGTTATAGAGTATTATTTATTGCGATAATAGATAGTAAGTTACTTTAAAATTTGATAATTCTTTGTTTAATGTTAATGAATATTTGCTGGCAAATGTTCTTACTTTTTTTTTTTTTCACTTTTTTGTTTTATTCTTATCCATTTTAACTAATTATATATACAGTATGTTGTTGGTTATGTTTATTTTGTTTGCAAAACTAAGTATAGAACACAGACTACTATAGGACATAAGCACTTTATTGTTCTGGTTGCTTCTTTCATCAAATGTACACCTCGCACAGAAAAAAAAAGGGGGGCACCAATATGGTGGAAATGGACACCATATCTCCTCATTCTACTGGAATGATTGTCAAAATTTAACTTGCATTTTCCATGTCTCGCAAGTGCAACTTAAGATGTTTATTAAATTTATATACAGCATTGTTCTAACACAGGTATTTTGACTCAAAATCGTGCTTTTGCTGAAATAACATACCAATTTTTTCCCATATTTCGATTCTACGGTTCAAATTATGCCTAGATATTAAATTTTTTAATTTTTGGTGATAAATTTATTGAGAAATTTAAAGATTTATTGTGGCACATTTTTTTTCAGTTTGCACCAAGAATAATTTGCATGGCGAACTTCTTAGTTCATAGCAACCAAGTTTCCTTTCATTTTTTTTTCATTGTATACAAACAGAATAAAAGCCATTGTTCATACTTTCAAATAATTTTAACAATATGTAAACCACATTTGGCATTATTATTGTGTATAATAACTATGCCAAATTTCAAAATGTGTCAGTATGTAAATTCACATATACCTTAGAAATTGTAAATAAAAAATCTTAATTTTTTTCAGGTATGCTTAGAAATACATCTATTTTAAGATGATGGTGAAAATTTTATAAGTTATAATTCAAAAAATTGTTTTAAAATATAAATTTAAAAAGTAAATTAGATAAAATAGGTGAATTTTTTTGGAATGAACATAAATTTCAAAATGCGAAAGGAAGAATCAAATAAGTTAAATAAATAAAAAAAAAGATATTAATAAATATATACCAAATTCAATTAACATAGAGGAGCTAAAATTTTGAGATTTTTATAATTTTTTATAAAACTTGGTACTGGGGCATAATTTGAGTCATAGAATCAAAATATGGAAAAAAAATTATGTTTTATGAGAAAAAGTTCAATTTTTGTGTCAAAATATCTACGTAGCGTATTCGGAGACTAAGTACCTTTTCATTCCAACACCATCGCAGCGCTGTGGTAGGTGTCCCGCGCATGCGTACTAGTCTTTCTTGTTCACTGACTTTCAATTGTCGCCATTTTGGTTGCTCTATGTTGTGTTTTCAGTTTGCTGTGCACATTCAAAATGTTTAAGACAATTAGTTCTCCCGCTGACTGTGAGATTCGTGCCGTGATTAAATTTTTGAACGCGAGGAATGTTAAACCGGCCGAAATTTATCTTCAAGTGACAGAAGTTTATGGTGAATATGCGATAAGTGATGGAATGGTGAGAAAGTGGGTAAGACTGTTTAATGCAGGTCGAACAAATGTCCACGCCGAGGCTCGGAGTGGTCGGCCTTCTGTTGTCGCCGATGATTTGGTAAGGAAAGTTGATGAAGCAATTCATGAGAACAGACGCTTCACAATGACAACTCTTTCAAAAGCATTTCCACAAATTTCACGTACTGTTTTGTTCGACATTGTGTCTGACCGCTTGAATTATCGCAAACTGTGTTCCCGATGAGTTCCAAAAATGCTCACTGATTTTCACAAAACAAAGCGACTTGGTAGTGCCCTGACATTTGTCACGCAGTACAGTGATGAGGGAGAAAACTTTTTAAACCAAATTGTGACAGGTGATAAACTTGGGTGTGTCATTTCACACCAGAATCGAAACAATAATCGATGGAGTGGAGACACACTCATTCTCCGAAAAAACAAAAGTTCAAAGTGACAATGTCATCACAAAAAATCATGTGCACTGTCTTCTGGGATAGGAAAGGCGTTTTGCTTACCGAATTTCTTCCCAGAGGTGAAACCATTAATGCGGCACGATATTGTGAGACTTTAACAAAACTAAGGTGTGCCATTCAAAACAAACAAAGAGGAATGCTCAGTAAAGGAATTGTGTTGCTCCATGACAATGCTCGGCCCCATATTGCTGGTGTCACTCAATCGTTAATTCGACAGTTTCATTGGGAGCAGTTCGATCACCCACCGTACAGCCCGGACTTGGCGCCCCCTGACTATCACTTGTTCCTGCACATGAAGCGCGAGCTTGGTGGCAAGCGCTTTGGTTCTGACGATGACACGAAAAATGCTGTGGAGTCATTGTTATCGAAACTGGCGGAAAGTTTCTTTGACGATGGTATACAAAAACTGGTCACCGCCCTATGACAAGTGTTTGATCATTGGCGGAAACTATGTTGAAAAATAGTTAAGACATGTATTTTCATGTAAAAATAAAATTGGATTAAAAAAAATTGTTTTACTATTTTGTTTTTTTTTTCAAAACGGTACTTTGTTTCCGAATACGCCTCGTATGTTAGAACAATATATATAGATCTAATATATATTTTAAGTTGCACTTTCACGACATGAAAAAGTGCAAGTTTGTACATTTGATAACATTACTGCAATCTGTCTTTCATAAGAAACCTCTTGCCAGTTAGTCTGCAGCTGTCTGTTGCCGTAGAAACGAGCCTTAACCCATTTTTCGAAGGGGTGTCTTGAAGACGAATGATAACTCTTTTCCCCTCAGCCAACAGTCGCCAAAAACAAAATAACAATAAAGCAACCCTTGAGTTGTCACTATTTGAAATATACTAGCCTTGTAGCAATATCAATATCATTGAAAGTCCATTGACATGAATGGCAAAAATTCATATGCTACTAAAATTTTTATTTATCGTAATCTTGGATATATCCATTTGTGATAGTTTATGGTAGTTTATTCACTTTTGAGAGTTCTTTGAATAAAGCAAATTTTAGCTGACATAATCCATGAATGAACATAGATTTTTTAAAAGCAGTTTCCAGACAGGTGTTTCACAATCCACTGATTTTGCCTGTATTGTACTGAGACTACTTATTTGCACTGTAAAGTAGACATTTATTTTTAAGTAACAAAGAAATGAGCAAAGCTTAAAAAATTATACTTAATTTTTTGGACTCGGAGATTCAATATTATTTTTTTCCCATTGTTTTGATTAAGTATGATTTCATTTTAATGAAATCCAGGTACATTAAGTTTTAATGTAATTATGTTTAAATTATTAATATTCATATGTATGAATGTTATCCCCCCTTTTTTCTGTTGTAGATAATGTAAGCCCTGAAGATATAGAAGCTTACCTGGGTGCCATGATGGAAACTGAATTTGAAACTTATTTTGAAGACGGAAGTTTAATGGATGTGAGTTTGTCTTTTTAATTTATTATTTTTCAGTTATTAATTATTGGAGTCTGTTACTGTTTTGCCTGTCTTTAATGAACATAAAAATACAGTCAAAAGTCGTTAATTCGGACACCCATAATCCGGACCTCAAAGCTACAAACTTTCTGCGTATGCGTCACGTTGACGCATGCGCATAGGCGTTTATGCATGTGTACTGTATTCAGGGAGCTGGTTGACTTTGTATTTAATAACAAATATTATCATCACAAAGATATTTACTTTATTATGTATTTATTAATCATTTTGTTGCTGTTGAGGAGCGATCTGGCTCCAAAACATTTGAAATTCTCAATCACAAAGCTGTAAGATCTGTTACAGCAAGTATACAAAAGAAAAAGAATACTCAATTCAAATTACGCAGGTCGAGAGTATAACGCGCTAGCAGCGCCTCCTGTCGGCAACTCTTAATCCCTACCGAACATACTCCCGACCTTGAAACCTTACGGGTTTCAAAATATTACAATTATACACTGTTTTAAAGCACAATATAATAACAAACAATTGTAAGCAATAGCAATACAATGGTTAAATTTTTAAAATACACATTAAATCATAGATGCAATATAAACACTGGAAAGAAACACATTACAATATAAAATACATAAATCTAATTACAATTCACAGGAAGAACACAAATGTCTCTCACATTTCTTTTTAACATTTTACCACCTGGTAATACTATGTTAATCACTCGAACTTTTTTATCTTTTCCAAAAATTATTTTTGCAATTCTACCTGTTAACCATTTTGTACTGGGCATATGCTCATCCTTGACTAACACAAGTGAACCCACCTTAACATTATCTTTAGCAAACATCCATTTACTACGTTGTTGAAGGTTATTTAAATAGTCTCTCTTCCATAACTTCCAAATTTGTTGACTATATTTCGTTATTTTTTGCCATTTTGAGAGCCTATTTTCTGGTATCTCAATAAGTTGGGGTTCAGCTATTGAAGCTAAAGGCCTCCCTATGAGAAAATGTCCGGGGACAAGGTTTACAAAATTATCAAATTCGGATGATAAGGGAGTAAGAGGGTCTGGAATTTAATACGCTTTCAATTTCTAGAAATTACAGTGAGAAATTCTTCAAGAAACAGATGAGCATTGCCAATAATTCGTTTCAAATGAAACTTAAAAGATTTCACCCCGGCTTCCCAAAGGCCGCCGAAGTTTGGTGATTTAGGAGGGATAAACCTCCACTCAATGTTTTCACTTAGCAGGTATTTAGTCAGTGTTTCATCTGGGTGTTTAACCAATTTATGCAATTTTCTGAGCTCAATGCTTGCACCCACATAATTCTTTGCATTGTCACTGAATAATTTTGCACATTAGCTCTGCATTTTGCCATATACCTGCGACTATAAAAATCGTTTCAAACAAGAAGCTATAAAGGCATCTGAAGTAAGATCAGAGACAAAATCTAAATGGATGGCTTTGGTGCTTAAGCATACAAATATGCACACATAAACTTTGTTCAGTTTTCATTTCCCTTACGCTGATTTTTAAATTTAATGTGGAATGGTCCACAAAAATCAGTTCCAACATTACTAAATGGGTAAGAATGTGTTACTCGTTCTTTGGGCAGATCACCCATTATCTGAGTCTCAAAAACAGGTTTGTTTTTAAAACAAGTTATACATTGAAAACAACTTTACGACAAACATTTCTGCCATTTAAGACCCAAAATTTACGTCGAACATGATACAATAATGCATTTGAACCAACATGCAAATATTTTAAATGATAATATCTCACAATTATTAAAGTTAATGGATGCTTATCTGGCAGAACAATTGGATTTTTCTCATATGTACTGAGGTCAGAATGTTTCAGTCTGCCTCCAACCCTTAGAACATTGTCTTTATCTAAAAAAAACAGTTTAAAGATTTTACCTTGCTGTTGCTGGGCACTGAGGCACCTCTCTCAAGATGTTTTATTTCATCTACAAACTCACCTTGTTGGATTGACCTAAATAAATAGATTTCCGCTCTTCTCAACTCGCTAAAGTGTAAGGTGACCTGTAAGCTTTTCATTTCTAACATTATTGATAAATCTAAATACATAGCACATAACATGAACAATAGTTAAATAATTATTACTCAAGGAAAGAATATCATCAGCTATAGAACTATGATTTAAAAACAGTAAAGGCAATAGGAGAATGATCATTAGAGTCATCAGTTTTCTTTAGTTCATCAGAAAAGTCATCTAATGAAATTAGAATGTCATTATTGTCTACCGGAAACATCAGTCTTTTCTCTCAAAAATTGGGGTCCATGCCACCAAATGTCACTGTTCAATAAAATGTCAGCACTGACTCCCCTGCTGAAGAGATCAGCTGGATTTTGCTTCCCAGGGCAGTGTGCCCAGGCACTGGTATCACTTAAACTCTGTATTTCGTTAACTCTATTGGCAACAAATGATTTCCATCAATTTCGTAGATCCTTTAATCCAATAGAGAGTTATTTTTGAATCCGTCCAAAAGAACACTAAGGAGGTCTTTTTTAAATCCACTGTTTTCTTGACTTTACTCGCTAGTCGGGCGGCAAGCAAAGCACCGAGTAATTCTAGTCTCGGAAGAGTGATTTTCCTTAGTGGCGTCACTCGACTCTTGCTAACCAATAAATTCACTTCGATGTTATTATCCTTCACAACTCTTGCATAAATAGCAGCACCGTAAGCCTTTTGGCTAGCATCGCAGAAGCAGTGTAGTTCTAAGATATCGGTTGACTCTTGTATATTAAATAGCACATTTCTAGGAACTCGTAACTCTGAAAGATCAGGAACCTCGGAGCACCACTGAAGCCATATTTTTTTGTAGATCTACAGGTATTGCTTCATCCCAAGAAATTTTCTTCATCCATAAGACTTGTAGAATGAACTTTGCACGAATAGTAAACGGCGAAAGCAACCCAAGCGGATCAAAAATCCTTTCCAATTGTACGTAGTAGGAATCGTTTGGTACTTTCGTTTTTAGACAGACTGTTCCACTAGGCTCTGCTTTCCCAATATTAGACAATCTTCAGCAGGATTCCATGACAGTCCCAAAACTTTAATAGTGTTGACTTGTGGCTGTGTATCGAAACCTTCACGTGTCCAAAACTGCATCAATGTATTGTCATTCGTAGTCCATTTTCGTAGCACCATGCTAGCTTCTTGGCTCATAATTGATGTAGCTTGAGTAGGAGATCTCAAAAGCATCCGACACATTATCAGCTCCAGAAATAAAATCATCCACATACAAACAGCGGTCTAAGCATTCTGTTGTAGTCGGGAATTCTTCAGAGTGCTTTCTCATGTGAGTTTTCAAAGTAGCAGTCAAAAGGAATGGACTGCTCGTAACACCAAAAAGAACACGATTAAATCTGTAAACTTGAATTTTACCATTTTCTTCCCACAGAAAACGAACTGCATCTCTGTCCTTTTCGGCTAATAAAATTTGTAGGAAAGCTTTCTCTATGTCTGAAGTAAAGGCGACTTTGTTTAATCTGAAATTAACAAGAATTTTCGAATATGTTCGAATTCAGGTTGGCCCTGACCACAGGCAATCATTTAGACTTAAATGCTTAAAGTTATGACTGGAACTTGCATCAAATACTATTCTCATTTTTGTAGTTGCACTTTCCTCTCTAAAAACTGGTTGATGTGGCAAATAGAACACAGGTTTTTATCAACAGGTTCTTTAGGACATCTAACTTTCTCTATAATATTCTTTATTTTCATAGTCTTTTAAAGTTTCAATATACTGCAAATGAAGATTTGGATCTTTTTGAAGTCTACGCATAAGTAAATTAAGTCTCTTTTTTTGCAACGATGAAGTTATTATTGAGCTCTCCCCAATCTCTTTTCCATGGTAATTGAAACCTCATACCGGTTATCTTTAAAACGAGAACAGTTTTTTTCAAATGTTTCTAAAGATTGATCTATCTCATTTTCACTGGGATCATCTTTAATTCCTATAGACTCAAGTTGCCAAAATTTTTTAATTTCATTTTCTATATCACTATAATTATTAATTAATCCACAGTGAACTGGTCGCGTATTTTGAATCTCTGAACTTAAAATGCTACCAGCCAGTGGCTATAAAGCCAAAAACAGAATTTTGAAATCTTAGCTCTGAATTGGGTACTTCAACTTGACCGAATTTTAAGATCTGATAAAACACCTCTGCGCCTAATAATGCATCAATTTTTCCTCTTTTATAAAAGTTTGGATCAGCAAACTTAATGTTTTGAGGAAAATGTTCAGTCGGAACTTCTATATTATTTATTGGTATGGAGTCCGAGATTTTAGGCACGCACAAAAATTCTAAACTCATTTCAAAGTCAATACCGTTTGAAATAGAAGCACATACTTTAGAATTAATATTTATTCTCGTGTTATTTAATCCAGAAACCGCAACAGATATTTTTTCTCTTTTAATCCCTAACGAATTAGCACATTCAATCGTTAAGAATGACGTCATCGAACCTACATCACACAAAGCGCGAACTGATTTTAATTCACCATAACAATCTCTTGATTAAAATATTCGCAGTAGAAAGTAAAACATTTTTGGTCTGACGCATTCCGTTTACAGCTGTGCCGGCGAAAATACTTTCTTTATTGGTAGAAGAAGAGTCATAAACAAATTTTTTTCAGCATTCGGATTGAGACTGACTGTCGTCTTCTCCCCCCCTACTTCCGGCTTTGAAATATGAGCACTTTCGGATTTATTTTGTTTTTCATTTTCGAAATGTAATAGCGTTGAATGCTTTCGTGAGCATTTTTGACATCGATAATTAGACGAACACGTTCGAACGGAATGGTTTTTCAAACAATTAAAACAAAGCTTATTTCTTTTCACGAATTCACACCTGTCATTGACAGAAAGATTTATAAATTCCGGACACTTATATAATGAATGGAATTCTTCACCACGGCACTTTATGCATTTCAAATTTATGTTTTTCGTATT